TGTAGCTCCTGGCTCTGCCTCTCTGCCAATCCCTTTTCCCCCAATAGCCCCTCAAATACTTGAACACAAGAGAGTAGGACCCCCTGAGCTTTCCCTTCCGGAGGCCAAACAGCCTCCAGTCTTTGGGTCTCAGCACCCTTGCCTGGCCCGGCCTCCCTCCTCTGGATGCTGTCCGGCTTGTCAATCTCCTAGAACGCATACAAGGGGTCATATACGGATATGGTGTGCCAGGGGCTGCAGAGTGGGCCTCGGCCCACATCTCATCTGAGTCCAACCACCCGCCCCCCGCGGAGGCGGGCACTACAAACACCACCATCAACATTTAACAGATGAGGAAACCAACACTCACAGAGGGGAGGGACAAAGCCGAGAGACATCAGAGGAAGGATTAGAATCCAGGTCTCCCCAATGCCAAGGCTTGACCTCTGACTCCAACACCCACAGCAAGGAGAGCAGGGGAGCCCAAAGGCCCCCCGCTTGCTCCTCTCCTGACTCTCCTCCTACCCGTCTGATCGCTCCTTTCCAGTGTCCTCTGCTGGATCTTCATGTGGCCCAAGAAGCATCCTGGATTCCTCGCGATCTCTCACCCTGTTGATTTCACCTGAATACGCCCCCTCCTCTCCTCTGACCCCCTCAGTGCAGGCCCTCATCACCTCCGGCCTGGACCACTGCCATAGCTGCTGGGCCGGGCTTCTGCCTGCCCTAAGTCTCTCAGCACTCCAATCCAGCCTCCACTCAGATGTCCCACTGATCTTCCTCAAGTGTAGGTCTGACCCCGTCACCTCCCTATCTGACAGGCTCTGGCGGCTCCTGGTCACTGCCACAATCAAATGCAAAACCCTCGGTTCAGCATTCAAAGACGGCCCTGCCCTGCCCCACCCCCACCTTCCCAGTCTTCTTACCCTTAGCCCGCTCCTCCCACCTGCTCTGGGACCCAGGGACACCGGCCTCCGGCTGCTCCTTGAATAAGATCCCCCCTCTCCAGACTTCAGGTGCTTTCCCTGCTTGGCCCCCACGTCTGGGATGTTCCCCCTCCTCACCTTTGGCTCCTGGCTTCCTTTAAGCCCCAGCTCAGTGGATAGCATCTGTAGGAGGCCTGTCCTGACCCTCTGTCCCTAAACCAGCTGGTATGTATGATACACACACACACTCACATACACACTCCCATGCACACGCGCACCCACACATACACATTCACGCCCACATGCACTCAGACCCACATCCAAGCAGTCTTCCCTGAGCTCTCAGAGGGCAGAGGCCAGGGGATTCTTATCTCTGTATCCCCACAGCCCAGCACTGAGCCTGGCAAGAAGCAGATGCCTAGTAAATACCTATGGATTAATGACTGATGAATGATATTCAAGGAAACATAAAGAAAAGCAGGTTCAACTGCTGATCCATTCTGAGTGACCTTTGAAAGGGGATGGACGAAAAGGGGAGAGCTACATAAAGCAGGACAAGAGAAGGGGGAGGCTGCCTAATTTTCTAAAAAAGGTAAGGGAAAAAATAACTGCAGATCAGAGGCCAAAGAGCTTGACTTTGATTTCTGAGAAAATTCTAGAATATCTTATTAAAAGGATGCCTAGTGGAAATTTCGAAAAGGACGCAGTGATTATAATGAGCCAGCCTGGTCTTGCCAGACCAACCTTGTTTCCTTTTCTGACAGGGTTATTAAACTAACAGATGAGGGGGATATGGATATGAAGTGGATAGGGTTTGCCTACATTTTAGGAAGACATTTGAAAAAAATCTTTCATACTAAAGATGGAAATGGGCTAAATGATAACATAAGAGCATCTAGGAATTGGAAGGGGTGGGGGAGGAGAACAAGCATTTATTAAGTGCCTACTACGTGTCGGTCACTGTGTTAAGTACTTCACAAATATTATTTCATTTGATCTTCCCAACAACCCTGGGAGGTAGGTGCTATTGTCATTCCCATTTTACAGCTGAGGAAACTAAGGCAAACAGAGGTTAAGTGACTTGCTCAGGGTGACTCGGTTAAAGTCACATTTGAACGCAAGTCTTCCTGACTCAGGCCCAGCGCTGCATCCACTGTTCCACCAGCTGGCCAATGAGCTGAGGCCGGCAAAGAGAGCTAAGGGAATTCCACTCCTGACAACTGGTCATCCAGATTCTCAGGGGGATGGCATGACAGACAATTTGGGGAAGGAAGAGGGCAGAAACCAGCTAGTAATGGTTACAGTCATTACTCAAGAGACACAGAGACAGAGACAAAGAGACAGACACAGAGAGAGGAGCACCAGCCATGACAGCTGTCCAGAATGTAGAATGGGTGCAGAGCTGGGCTAGGGAAGGGTTCAAGCTAACCTGAAGGTCTCCAGCCTGGGGACCATGTCAAGCAGGTATGTACCCCACATGCTCCAGCAATGCTTCCCAATGACTGTCACTGCTGATGCCACAAGGACAGCATGGGGAAGGGGAAGGAGACTTGTCTTCCTTGGCCCAAGAAAGCAGAGCTGGGGGCCCCAAGGAGCTCCAGGAAGGAGGACAAGCTCAGTGATGGCTTCTCTGCATTGAGGCAGCTCCTCCCCCATGGGGCTCTGGAAGCCTGGGAGGGATGTCAGGCCAGAGAGGACAGTACCCCTAGCATTCTATGTCATCATGGGATTCCGAGAGCCAAGCCAAAGAAGAAAAGTACAAGGGGTGATGAGATAACCACCCCAGGGCTCAGGAATGAAGACCTGCCTTGGACTCCCCCCCTTCAATGTTTATGCCCTCAGGGGCCATGAAACATGCCTGGGTCACTGCTTCCTCACTTGTTAAATGAGGGCAATGGACCACTGGGATCTCTTCCAGTGCTAGGTTCTGTGAACTAAGGAAAACCTGAGCCAGAAGAAATAATCAGAACTCTGCTAGGGCTGGGGTTTCTTTTCTTTTTCTTTTTGAGATAGTCCAGATTAAGTGACTTGCCCAGGGTCACACAGCTAGTAAGTGTCTGAGGCCACATTTGAACTCAGGTCCTCCTGACTCCAGGGCCCGTGCTCTATCCACGTTACCTCGAGATGCAGTTCCCACAGCTGACGAAGGCCCTAAGGTAAGTGTATGTCCCAAAGAGCCCTGGGAGTCTGAGCCTGAGGAGGGCCATGTTTCCCAGTGCTATCCTCCCTGCTCACTTCAGCATCAGTGCCAGTATGGGGGTGGGGTGCCCTTGCACACAGAAGGGTTCGATGCGTTGTGGTAATAAGGACAATGAAGTAGGTACGATTCCCTACCAACAATCTCTTGCCGGGAGCTGATGACCCAAGTCAGGCCAAAGTACACTGGAATGGTATTAGGCCTATGAGAAAGCCATGGCCCCTCCAGGATGAAAAAGGAGCAAGGCTGCTCAGGGAGAATGCACAAGTATCTTCTCCACAAAGTGCCTTTAGCTTCCTTTGTGCCCCAGCTAAACCCCACCTTCCCATCCACCTTTGGGCCAGCACCTTTCCTCTGGGGACTGGCTGCCACCTACCCTGGCCAGAGCCTGTCTGTACACAGCTGTTTGCATGTGATGTCTCCTCCATCAGACTGTGGGCTCCCCGAGGGCAGGCCAGCTTTTTGCTTTTCTCTTGTACCCCATCACTCAGCACAGGGTCGGGCACACAGCAGGCATGTATGTAATAAATGTCTACTGGCTCACTGCCCAACCTGGGAGAGTGTAATTGGTGTGATGGGTCACAGTATTTGTTAGTGCACAATTATAAGGCTTTTTAAAAAATCTCTTTGAAGCTCTCCTTCCTTTGTGGTGGAGGAAATAAATCCCTGCTGCTTTGACTTTGCACCTTCAGCATCTGTTCTAGAAGAGACCCTGTTAATGCCTTTGAGGACACCCTCAACAGGAGCTTTGCTTTAACGATTTCTCCCTAGATCTACTCTGGGCTGGGGGTGGGGAGATGACAAAGAGTGTGGGAAAAGCCCGACTCCCCTCTTTGTGCTCAGGCCCCCCCTCCCAGGATCACTCGAGCTCCAGGTGAGTTCAGAGTTGAGCCTCCTTCCCAGAAAGGGGCCCCCTTAACCCTATCTTACATTTTAGGGACACCTAGTTCCCAAGGCCACCCTACCCTCCTTTCATTTGGGGGCCCAGAGGCCAGCTAGTGTATATGGAGGGGTGAATGGTGGCGTGGTGGACAGCCCCCTTCTGAAGAAGAGTCTAGAACAAACACAATGGAATACGAAGGCCATGTTGGGGAGGGGAGACCCCAGGAGGAGGGAGTGTCTTTGATTAGAGCACCACAGATGCCAAAGAACACAAGAGAAAAGATTCCACCACTAGGCACCCTCCACACCAGCTGTCCAGGCCCCTGGGCTCCCAGGAGCCAGCTCAGCCACAGGCTGGGACATGGGGTCAGTGAAGGCCCAAGAGGAGGCTAGCGAAATGTCAAGCCTCTCCCACCTGGTCTCCAGGCTTTGAGGTAAATGATGAAGTCGACCAATTAATCCCAGGGAAATTATCACAGGAGGGGGAAAAGCAATTTGACAAACTAGATGTGAAAATTCCCTGACCTTGACAAATAAGTGGACCCAGCAACTAAACCTGGGCAGTCCCAGAGTAACGAGCAATTGTGCCAGCAAGGCCTGGTGCCCAAAGAATACATTCATGCTAGCTCCTCTGCAGTACCCCTGCCCAGCCCCACTCAGCAAATTCAATGCCAGGGAGCCGTCCAGGCGGCCCTTTGGAGGCAGACGCCAACCTCCTGCTCCCTGGGCATGCATCATGACATCCTCTCCCTGCCTCAACGCTACGCCTCACACTTTCCCTGAACACCTGCCACAGGTCTGGCCACACCATGGGGAGGGGGATAGTGGAGAGGACTGGGCCTCCTGGGAGGCAGCCTTCAGAGAGCAGCACTTACCAGCCCTGCACAACCAGGGATGGGTGTTACAAAGTGACCCCCCCCCAGGGCACTGCCAGTCAGAGCTAGGGAGCAGGGGTGGGAGGGAAGCAGCACAGTCAGGGCTCAAAGAAACCAAAAGGTCCCCTTTGGGGCCACACCTACTAGACTGGGCTGGGCCCTGGGTGGCCCGGGCATCGATCATCTCTTTCTGGGTTCTGGATTGTCCTGAGTCCACAGCAAGGCCTGAGGGCAGCGGAGACAGAAAGTCAAAGGCCACATTGTTTCTCTCTCTCCTTCCTGTTTAACAATGAAAGCTTTTCCTCAGTGCGGAAGGTCCAGCATCTTATTCCATGCTAGGAGACCCAAAAGACAGGGCTTTTAGCATCCTCCTGGGACCTGTGAAGGTGGCTCCAGGAAGCACAGGAGGGATGAGATGGGTGATCTCTTGCTCCAATGCCTCTAACGTGGAGGAGGCCAGCTGAGTTGGGTACCACACGGGACCCCAAAGAGCCTCCCTTTGGCGGGGGCTGCCCAGGAGGAGCCCCAGGGCAGCCACTCCCAGCCCCTCCCACTGCGGCAGAGTACCAGGCTCCCAGGAGCATCAGCAGACCCTGTTCATTTGCACCCTGATGTAGGCTCAGTATGAACAGACACCTTCCATGATGTTCCCGCACATCATGCAAGGCTTCTGTGGGCCGGGGGCCAGGCCACCTCCAACCCTGTCCAAAGGGGACTGCAAAGTACAGAGAATGCCAAGGTGTCCAAGCTCTGCAGAAAAGGCATCTGGCCCCTCCAGTAAGAGACCCCACAACCCACTCACTTCAAAGTCTCTCCCTCTGATGGAGACCTGGGCGCCACCTCTTCTCTGGGAAGCAGCCCAGAACCAGGAAGGCTCTCGGTTCCACCCTCAGTGAGGTCCCATTCCCACCTCCCCTCCCGCCCTGCCTCTGGCCAAGGCTGCTGAGGCATGAGCGCTGTCTGCAGTGGTGGTAGCGGTGGCAGTTTGGGCAGCAAGCAGAAGGCAGCGTGGGGTGCAAGGAGGAGTTAGGAAGCCAGAGGCCTGAGGAGATAAGCATGGCCGTTAGACAGGGCCACTGGCCCAACAAAGGCACCATGTTGGAAGGCAGCAAACCCACTAGCAACTCTGCGGGCAGGGGAGACGTAAGACCTGACCTTCTCCAAGTCAATCAGGGCCCACCTTTCATCTCTGAGAGGAGGGTGAGTGAGCCCCACTCCCCTCAACGAGGGCTAAAGGACTAGGCCAGAGCCAGGCAATTCTAGTAACAGCCCAGCTCTCTAAGAAACTGATATCTGTCAAAAGAAAACCAGATGAAACCACCAGGAAACAATTTTGTGGGCCCATCCCCCTTCAGTGTCCTGGAAGGGAGTCTAGGCCTAGAAGCAGTAGGGCTCACAGGAACCATGGAGGCTCAAGGACCTCCCCCCACCCACTCCCCGGTGTTGCCCTAACAACAAGGACACTGGACAGGCAAGGGGCAACCCTAAAAGAGACAGAGGCTAGGCTAGCCAGAAGGGCTTACCCTCTGTCCTGACACTGCCATCTCTGGCCTATGTCCTTTCTGAGCCTAAGGAAAGTGGATCAGTGACATATTCAGTTATGACTAGAGAGGACATTCTGGTAAGCCACTATACCAATACCCTCAGGACTCTCGGCCTCCCCAGGGAGACCTCCACTAGCCTCCAGCCTCATTCGGTGGCCTGCAGGACAGCAGCCAGGGCCCTGGCAGGGCACATGCCCTTCTGACAAGCCAAAGCTTTGGACTCCCTTCCCAGGAGGCACAGCTCAAACTAGGCCCACTGCTGGAGATTCACCACTAAGCATGCCCAAATCTACAAGCAGCAATGCCAGCCCTCTGGAGTCTAAAGGAAAGACCACCTTCTCCTCTCTGCTTCTCCCTCCACAGTCCCAGGCTAGGCTGGGAGGGCCTAGACAGCCCAGGGCCAGAGAGAGAAAATACCTGCTGAGCTCCGCCTGGCTGGAGCAGAGGGAGGGGGTACCTAGGGACATGTGGCTATCTACACTGACAGTGGAAAATCCCTCAGGCTGCCCACTCCCTTGCTAGGCCAAGATTGGCTTGGATGACCTCTGAGAGCACATGGCTGCCAGCTCTGACCAGCTCTGACCATGGGGGAAGCTGAGGCCACTCTGGCCTAGGCCCGAGGCCTGCTCACCATCCCCTGCCCACCTAAGGTGGTCGGGACCCACGGGAACGAATGCAGTTTCCCACAAACCATTTGCCGAAGTCCTGCTAATGGAAGGCATCAGGAAAAATAGAGAAGGCCCTATGGGGCCCCCATGCACACACGTGCACACGGGCACAGGTGCCAATGGTCACACCAAACTGCCCCCTCTGCCTCTCACTAGCTTCCCTGGGGCCCTAAAGGACAGCCAGAGGGGAGCAGCAGCCCTGCTCAGCTCCACCAAGGCCCGGAAGACCCTGCCCTGGCCTGGCTGCACTGTATCATCTCACCTGCCTCTGCCTCTGCCTCTGCCTCCCAACATGGCCATCGAGCCCCACCCTGGACAGAAATAAGCCTGGGGCCACAGAGGGAAGAGAAGGCGAAGGAGATTGTACCTGAGCCTAGGGTCCGTCCAACGGAGTCAAAGGTAAGAGCCCCTGAATCTGCAACACAAGAGGACAAGTTCATGGCTTTTGCCTTGTTGGGTGGGCTTCTCAGCTCCCCAGCCACCACCAACCCCACCACCCCGAGGGCACAGAGTGCTGCCTGGCACCAGCCTCAGCGCAAGTATGGCTCCAGAGCACGTCCTCAGGGTCAGGTACAAAGCCATCTGGAGCCCTAGGCAGACTGCCTGGCCTTTGTCTGGGGCACTGCTATAAGTTCAGTTGTCCAGCAGACAGGGAGGAAGCTGCCATCCCTGTAGGATGACCATGATGGCTCCAGAAGGGAGACAGCCAGAGGGCTCCCCGCATGCCCACCCCCACCCAGACCCCTCTCTCCTCAGAGATGGACAGCAGACTCTAGCAGCCCACTGCCAAACACTCAGCAGCCAATCCCTTGTGCCTTTGTGGTTATGTACGTCAAGTTTCTGGATCTAGACTGCAAGATCCCTGAGGACAGGAACCATGGCTACTCCCCAACGACCTAGCTCAGCAACAGATGTGCACACAAGGGAAGGGGAAGGACACAAGTCACTAATGATGGCAATTCTAGAACCACAGACCCATAGACCAGCCAGGTCAGCCAGGCCCCCCCACTCCCACCTCAGGCAAGGAGCCTGTCTACCACAACCCAGAGAAGTCAGCTAGTTTGTGCTTAGATCCCTCAGGTGAAAAAGATCTCACCAACTTCCCAGGCTCTCCTCACCCACAGCACTTGCTAGACAGTGCCAACTATTAGAAAATTTTCCTTCTAGTAAGCAGAAATGTCCAAAGTTTCAGCCAGAGGGGCCGGGTATCTCCAGGACAAATCTAATACCCCCTCCACATGGCAAGGGAAGGGGGAAAAGGACTGATTAAGCGCCCACTATGCGCCGGGGGCTCAGCTGGGTACTAGCCAAGTCAAGCAGAATTTATCAAGCACCAGCTATGTGCCAGCCAGCCCTGCCCTCGAAGAGCTCACTGGGGTGCTTTGTACAAACAAGCTGCAGAGGAGGTAAACTGGAGATAATCCACAGAGGGAAGACCCTAGCTTTAAGGCAGACCAGGAAAGGTCTCTGGTAGGAGGAATTTTAGCTGGGACACGAAGAACTCCAGGTAACCCAGGAGGCGGAGATGAGGCAAGAGAACATTCCAGGACCGGGGGCCAGCCAGTGACAATGCCCAGAGTCCAGAGATGGAATGTCCTATTCAAGGAATAGCCAGGAGGCCAGTGTCCCAGCGTCACTGGATTGAAGAGTATGTGTGGATGGAGAGGAGGAGGAGAGGTAAGAAGACTGAAAAGATCATGAAGGCAAGTTATGAAGGACTTGGAATGCCAAGCAGAGGATTTTAAATTTTAGCCTGGAGGTGACAGGGAGCCACTGGAGTTTACTGAGTGGGGGGATGGGGGGTGACACAGTCAGATCTGTGACTTAGGAAGATCATTCGAATAGCTGAGTGGAGGAGGGGCTGGGCTGGGGAGAGACTCAACGAAGAGAAACCGATCGGCAGTGTCCTGCAATAGTCCATGTGTGAAGAGAGAAGGGCCTACACCAGAGGGTGGCAATGTCAAAGGAGAAATGGCAGGGAATATAAGAGATATTGAGAAGGCAGAAGAGACAGACCGTGGCAACAGACTGGATACGGGAAGAGATAAGCCAAGAATGACACCTAAGTTGTGGGCCTGAGACACTGAGAGGATGGTGATACCCTCCATAGTAATAAGGAAGTTGAGAAGAAGGGAGGATTTGGGGGAGAAATATAATGAGTTCAGTTTTGGACATATTGAGTTTAAAATGTCGACAGGACATCTAGTTTGCAATGTCTAATATGCAGATGGAGATGCGAATTTGGAGGTCAGCAGAGAGGTTAGGGCTGGAGAAGCAGATTTGAGAATCATCAGCCATTGAATCCACGAGAGATACTGAGATCACCCAGTGAAATCGTACAGAGGAAGAAGAGAAGACGGTCCAGGACATGGTGCTGGGGACACCCACAGTTGGTGGTTAGGGCCCAGATGAAGATCTAACAAAGGAGACAAGAAAAGGAGAACCAGGAGAGAGAAGGGTCACAAAAACCTAGAAAGAAGAATATATCTAGAATAACAGTGTCAACAGTGTCAAAGGTGGCAGAGAGGTCAAGAAGGATAAGGACTGAGAAAAGGTCATTAGAATTGGCAATGAAGAGCTAACTAGTAATTTGGGAGAGGGGGATTTGGGTTGAATGATGTCAGTCTCCCTGTCAGAAGCCAGACTGCAGAGAGTTAGGAAGAGAATGAGAGGAAAGTGGAGGAGGGCCTTCTTGAGGAGAAGATCTAGGGTGGGAATACAGTCCTCCTCATTATAAGCCCCTGGAAGGCAGAAACAGGTTTGGTTTGTAATTTATCTCCAGCAATTAACTCAGTGCCCTGCACATGCAGAAAGTACTTAACTAATACTAGTTACATGAATGAATAAAGGAAGGAAGGAAAGAAAAGTACCTCTATGTCTCTCCTTCATCCTACACCACCAGCACTGCTCTCTATGAGATGAGTCGTTGTCTATTCACCAGGCCCCACACCCTCCTCCTTTCTTTTCAGTTTAAAGCCCTTTGGATTAGATGGAAGACTTTGGGGATTTGCATTTTTCCCGGTGTACTCCCTCGCTGACCTGGAGTCTGTCACGCCTATATTTTAAACTACAAGATGAGAACTATAGACTGTAACTCTATGAATGTAGAGTTTTTGTTTTTGTTTTGTTTTGTATTCTCAGCCTCTAACACAGAGTCTGGTGCTTGCATTGTGTAGGAGCTTCACAAATGACTGCTGGATTGGATTGAAAAAAATTCTACTCTCCATCACCATGGTCTTAATGAATTAGCTATTTCCCATAGTTCCATACCCTCCTCCTCCCATCATAAAACCAAAGATTATATTCGTGTGGAGGGGCTGCTATATCATGCTCTTTACTCCTATTGACCTTGTAGTTCACCGGGACAAAACTCAGGTGTTTTCCAGAGAATGTCTATCTAGCCACATCACCCCATCCTATCCCAATGAAGTTGATTGTTTGAACTCAAGTATAAGCCTTGAAATTTATCCCCAGTAAATTTCATCTTATTCAGTCCAGCCCAATGTCAAGATCTTTTTTGCATCCTGACTCTGTCATCCTGGGGTTAACATTCCAGTCCAGCTTTTTGGATGCTATTTATTTAATATGAAAAACTAATGAGGCTCCAGGACCACCATGTTCCAACAGCCAGTTCCTTTCTTTGAAGGGGAGATTATGTTTTAAATACACACACAATATAAAAGCAGGAAGCACTTGTTTAACAGAGTGTTTCTGGACCCACGTAGCCAGAGCTGAGCAGGTGTTGGGTGCCCCCCTCCTTCTAGTGCAGAGAGAACTGAACGCTCAGCTTACACTGCTGAACGACAATAGCTAAAAGAACGGCTTGTTTCCAAAGTCACAGACCCTGCTGCCCAGGAACAAGAGCTAAAAGAAAACTGAATCAAGAGCAAAAGGCGTCATTCTCCCCAGACATGGAGTGGGAGGGAACAAAGACAGAAGGAAGGACCAGCTGGTCTAGACCAGGTAGACGCAGAGGACAGGTGTGCTGAAAGAGAGAAAGATGTCCAAGCAAAGACTCTGGGATAGCACTGATCCAAGCGATGGCCTCCCCAAAGCTCACCGCAGGGTGAAAGGGCACCAGGGAACACTTGGCAGCACGCATGTTACATAGTGTTTTAAGGTTTGTATTGTCACATTTAATCTCCATAACAGCCCTGTGAGGTCAACACCATTCTATCCCCAATATACAGAGGAAAAAACTGAGCTTCAGGGAAGCAAAGTGACTTGCCCAGGGTCACACAGCAAGGTCTGGGTCTGCATTTAAACTTAGGTTTTCCTGGCTCCAAGGACAGCCCTTTCTCCCCTATAGCACCCAGCTGCCTCCTTGCTATATGACCAGCCCGTCACCCACTCTCAGCACACATTCTCTTGATAACAGCCTTGACTCCTGTACTTCTTCCAGGTTCCCCATCAGTCATATGGCAGAGCCCACTGGCACCCACAATGCACCTTTCCATTCTTATGACAATCACACACATTCATCATCTCACAGAACACAGAGGCAGTATAGAGTAAAACCAGTTTAAAGTAACCTTGACAAAAGATCCAAAGAAGCAAAGTCATCTCAAGGACATTCAAGGTTGGAAACGGAAGGAATAAAAACAGGAAAAAAAAATGGAAAAGATCTGCAAAGATCATTATAAGCAACTTTGCTCTGCCAAGGACGGCAGAACCACTAATTCATCAGCTCCTCCATTGGACTGTGTACTCCTTGAGGGCAGGGCTTGGTTTTTGCCTCTTTTTGTATCCCCAGCACTTAGCCTGACAAGAGCAGGTGCTTAATAAATATTGATTGATTGACTGATTGATTGGAACCACAGAAAAGGACATTTGGCCCTTGATATCACAGGCCCCAGGGTGTTTACAAAGGAGAGTAGAAATGACATGAAGAAAAGTAGTCCATTAGACAAATACACCTAGAGGAGATCCATGCGGGAGACAATGCAATTGTGAGCACGCTAAGATACTGATACACACTATATCTGAAGGAGAGGAAAACGCCAATGGTGTGGGAAAGATTTCGGCCCTTACTGATACAAAAACATATCAACACCTACCCACACACATACCAACTCTCCCATTTTTTTTCAAAACACCAAACATTTCGAAAAAATCATTTATATTATTACCTCCAAAAATGTACCTGTGAAAGAGTCTGTAACCACTGATCTTCTCTTTCTTAAGGTTCAGTTCAATTTACCAAACAACTGTTGAGCACCCATATGTGCCAGGCATGGGACACAAAGACAGCAGCAAAATATGCCCTTCAGAGACGATACCACAAGACTATGGGGAAGCTGGAACAAGAGCACTCCAAGTACTAAGACAGAAACCCGCCAGAGACAGTCAGGGAAACCTCTTGGAGGAGGGCACCTCGGTTGTGCTTTATAGGAAGTTAGAGATTCCAAGGGACAG